CCACCCTCCAGGATTTCTCCTCTTGGGCGGCTTCGAAGGCAGCGTCCAGCTCCCCCAGTCGCCCCAGTACCGCTCGCTCCTTCTCTGCCAGGAACCGGCGCAGCCGCTCGAACTCGGCCCCGATGCGGTGCCGCTTGGCTTCGCTCCTCTCCTGGAAAATTTTAAAAAAATCCCCCAAAAAACCCCATGAGACCCCACACCTGATTTTTTCAATTTTCAGCTAAAACACTTGGGTTGGAGGCAGAGGGGTTGTAACGCCAGGGATGTGATTAATTAACAATTTGAGGGTAATTAAGCTGCTCATCCAATTCTTTTCCTTCTTCTTTTTCCTTTTTGACCATTTTATCTCTTTCTAGTTGCTCCAAAACCCTTCAGAGCTCTGGGAAACAGGGGGGGAGGGTTAATTCCGCATTAATTAATGTCCTTTTAGGACTCGATCTTGGATCAAAGCGATGCCGCCGTGAAAAGAAAATTATTTCAAAGAGGAGAAAGAGGAGGTGATGCTCACCAAAGCTGCCCGGGAGCTCCGACCGGATTTGGGGCTTTTTGCAGGACGCTGGGGACGTGTTGTGAGGATGTTTGGGGAGGGGGAAAAAAAAAAACCCAAAAAAACCCCAAGGACCTCAGCTCAAAACACTGCGGGAGCCTTTACCAGGTAATCCAGCCGGTGCCTCTCTTCACTCGCTTCCCAGTCCTGAAATTCTGCCAACACCTTCCGGAGGGACCGCAGGTGAGGCTGGATTTTCTCCTGAATATACCACCACCCCCCCCCACCCCAAAAAAAAAAAAAAAAAAAGCAATCAGCCCAGCTCGGTATCATTCTGCTTTGAAAATTTTAAATTATTTAATAATTCACCCCAATATTTAATAATTCACCCCAAAAAAGGCGCCTTCCCTCCAAGCATTAACTCGCTTGAAATTTCTCCCATGACCATGAATTTCTTCTCCCACTAAAAAATTCCGATATTTTCATTTTTTGCCCCATTTTTTGGGATGGAGGGGGGAAGGATCTCAGCTCTCAGCAGATCCCCCAAAAACCTTCGTGGCCGTCGCCGGCGGCTGCTCACCCATCGCCAACGTTTCTTCAACGCCAGACGGCAACGGCAGCGTGGCCGGTCTCATTTTGTGCGGTGTTTCCCTTCCGGCGCGAAGAAATCGACGCTGGGAGAAGTCGCTGTCCCACAAACCGCCCCTGGGTCTTCCCACGTGCGGGGAAAAGCAAATTTCCTCGCCCACGGTTTGGCCGGATTTGGGGAAAAAAAAAAAAAAAAAAACCAACAAAATTTAAACCAAAAATTTAAACAAAAAAATTTAACCCATAAAATTGAACCAAAAAATTGAAACCAAAATTTGACCAAAAATTTAACCCAAAATTTAACCAAAACTGCAAAACATAATTTGACCAAAAATTTAAATCAAAATTTGACCAAAAAATTTAACCACGATTTGACCCAAAATTTAAACCAAAAATTTAAACCAAAATTTGACCCAAAAATTTAAGCCGTGATTTAACCAAAAATTGAAACTAAAATTTGACCAAAAATGTAAACCAATATTTGACCAAAAATTTAACCCAAAATTTCATTTTTTCCTTTGTGTTGCGGCACAATAATGCACTTATTTTTTTTTTTACACCCCTTGTTTTGTTGTTTTCTCCCTTCCCAACTCTTTCCAGGTGCGTTGGGAAACTAAATGGCCCCAAAAAGGGGGAAAAAAGGCGCAATCGGAGGGTGCAAGAGGCGTCGGAGCGCGTCGCAGCCCTGTCTGCGGAGGGGAGATTGGAGATCTCCTCCCTCTTCGGATGATAAAAGCTGGCGGAGGAAGAGACGGGACCGAGCTTTCGCTGAGCCTGTGCCAGAGACGGGGGAAAAAAAAAACCAAGAGAGGGGAAAGAAAAACAAGAAAGGGGGGAAAAAAACCCAAGAAAGGGGAAAAAAACCCAAGAAAGGGGGAAAAAACCCAAGAAAGGGAGTGGGGGAAAAAAAAAAAGGAAAAAAAAGAAAACAGAAGAAGCTGGTGGAGGAAAATCAGCCGGAGGGACCCCAGAACGGCGCCGGTGCCACCAAGAAAAATCCAGAAAGGTTCGAGAAAGGGGAAAAACCAGGTGGGTTGCATCATTCTGACATCTTTTTTTGGGGGGAAAAATAAAGGGTTTGGGCACTTTAATGATCTCAGCGACAGGGGAAGGGAATTGGATTTAATTTTGTTTTGCCCTCGGGATTTTTTGGGGGGTTTAAAGGTGTTTTCAAGAGGTTGGTCGCGGGTATAATTCGCTTTTTGGTCTGTCTGGGGAAATTTTAGGGAGGACGAGCCCGGCTCCTGCTTTTATTTTCATTTAAAAGTGATTTTTTTCTCACCCACCCGCTGCTTTAATCCCCCTATTTGCACTTTTTCTGGGGAAAAAAAAAAACCAAAAAAAAAAGCAGCAACTTGGTTATTTTTGGGCATCGCCGTGTGGTTTATTCAACCGTTTTTGGGATTTCTCTCATTAATTAATCCATCTTCCAGTACATGAACCAAGCTCCTTTGCAACTACTGGAGAAAAAAAGGCATTTTCTTAAATATTTTGATTAAATGCAGTGGTTGAACCCATTTTCTGACATAAAAAGGGGTGAAAAGCTGAGATATGATCATTTGTAGGATAATTTTTTTTTTTGGTAGGATTTTAGGTTTTTTGTAGGATCATTTGTAGGATAATTTTTTTCTTCTTTCTGCATGGAGGACTTTGCGAGCGCCATGGCTTTCTTCCTCAAACCGCGGCCGCGCACGTGGGATCTGCTCTTGGATTACCACACGGTGAAACAGTTTGAAGGTAACCAAAGGTGGCCGGAGAGGAGAAAAGTACCAATTCCTGATGGTTTCTGGGCTCCATCGCATGAGATGTCCATCGGAGCTGGAGATCCTCCATCTCCAACCTCCATCTCTTGGCTCCTCCATCTCCAGCCTCAAGTGGAGATCCTTCATCTCCAACCTCTATCTCTTGACTCCTCCATCTCCAGCCTCAACTGGAGATCCTCAATCTCCAACCTCCATCTCTTGACTCCTCCATCTCCAACCTCAACTGGAGATCCTCCATCTTCAACCTCATATTTTGGCTCTTTCATTTCCAACCTCATCTTTTGGCTCCTCCATCTCCAGCCTTAACTGGAGATTCTTCATTTCCAACGTCATATTTTGGCTCCTCCATCTCCAACCTCATCTTTTGGTTTCTCCATCTCCAACCTCCATCTTTTGGCTCCTCCATCTCCAACCTCATTTTTGGCTCCTCCATTTCTTGGCTCCTCCATCTGCAAACTCAACTGGAGATCCTCCATCTCCAACCTCACCACCCTTCTCCTTTTCTCCTTCTTGAAAAAAACAACCAGCAGAGGGGATTTTTAGGGTGCGCTTGAGTTCGGCTCCTGATTTCTTCTCTCTTTTGCTTTCCAGTGGACGTGACCTTGGATCCCACCACGGCGGGTCCCGAGGTGATCCTCTCCAAGGATCTCAAAGAGGCCACTTGGGGTAGACCAGGACACCGGTGGCCTGCGGGTCCGGGCCAATTCGACACGGATCCGTGCATGTTGGGCAGCGAGGGCTTCACCTCGGGCCGTCACTACTGGGAGGTGGAGGCCAACGGACGCTTCTGGGCCGTTGGGGTGGCCCGCGAGTCGGTTCAGAGGAAAGGTCGGGTCCTCTTCAAACCCAACGCCGAGATTTGGGGTTTGCAGAAATACGATGAGCTCTGCGTGGCCCTCACGGTGCCTTCCAACACCTCCGTCCCGCTCCTCAACGGGGCCATCGGGGTCTACCTGGACTACGAGGTGGGACAAGTCTCCTTCTACGCCGTCGGCAGCCGCCAATGCATCTTCACCTTCCCCGTGGCTTCCTTCAGCGGAGAGAAGGTCTTCCCCTACTTCTGCGTCCTCCTCTCCACCATCAAACTGTCCCCCAAGGGTTGATGGGTCCTCCCAAAGCCAGTTGCATGAAAATTTTGATTCTTATTCATCAATTTTTGGTATTTTTTTTTTTTTCCCCCTGAGTTTTCTTTTTCTTTGGGTTTTTTGGAGGTTTTCTATTAAGAGCTGACGCAAAGATTTTGAGCCCGTCTCGTCCCGTTTCCCATCTTTGGACTCTGCAGCTCGGGTTTGTTGCAAACCCAACTCCTCTCGGCGCCGCAGC